TAGAGTGAATCTAAGCAGTAATCATGGGCACATTCAGAGAAGAAGATGGTCAAAAAAGGTACTGACGTTTAATTGGTAGTACCAACCAGATATAGTTAAAACTAAGAACCCAAAATGGAATAATATCGTGACCTATTATGCATGATATATAGACTTAAGTTAGAAATATATTTTTTGTTATTAGAAAAAGAGAAAGCTAGATTAGCTAGTTATTTCTGTCTCTTCTTATTTTTTACTGTTTCTCTTTCTATCTAGATATGATATATGTCTATACATTTCCACGTAGATGACGTATATTACTGAGGGAAATCCTCTATATAAGAAAGAGAAGATCGAGATAATCTCTTTTCTTTATATCACTTTGAAAATCTCAAAAACACCCCAAAAAAAAACAGAGAGAGAGTCGACAAACAAAAAACAAGAAAGCAAAAGAGAGAGCTATAGCTAACAAAAAAATGGCTAGGGGTTCTTGTTTCTTCCTCATCCTTTTAATCGTCTCGTTGTTAGCAAATGCGAGTAATTCTCAAATATTAGATCGACATAGTTTTCCCGATGGTTTCATTTTTGGAACTGCTGCATCGGCGTTTCAGGTATTTTTATTAGTAAAATGATGAAATTGTTTTGTTATTTGATAAATTTGTTTATCAATCATGTAACTATAAGAATTCACAATAATAATTCTATTATTCATGTCATTCTAACGATAAAACAATTCTAAAACTCCGTAAGTTTATTGTTAAGTTATTACTGTAATCTGTTTTTGCATGATGATTTTATCTTCATTCTATAACTGCTTTTTGTTTTTACAATTTTAGCCATCTGTATTACTAACCTAATCTATATATTGTAGTAGAATTAAAAAACAGTGTTTATTTTTTTCTAATTATTGTTTCATAATGAAAAATTATGTGAATTTTTTCTTTTTGTAATCCTCTCGTGCGAGATCTTTTTTTTTTTCTTGTTAAGGGATTTGAAAGGAAAAATCATCTGTTCGAGTTTCATTTTAATTAACTACGACTACGAAGGATAGTCAAATATTTTATTTGCTTACGTTTGTAGATTTTAACATTCTGTCTTTGTCCTTTTTCTCAAAACGTTCTCTTCTTGTATATGTCACAAAAACTTATAACTATACATCTCAAGTAAAGCTCGCATCATCCTTAAAACAAACAAACAAACAAGTTACATAAGCTTACCGTAATTTATTTCCGATCATTACAATAATAAATGATCAAAGAACTAAATTATTCCGAATTATTGAAATTAATGTTTTTGTTAATATATATGCAGTACGAAGGAGCAACAGACGAAGGTGGGAAGTCTCCAACTATATGGGACCACTTCAGCCGCACTTATCCAGGTCTGTCCGAGAAAGCAAAAATTTGCGGACCGATTTGATCGACGCTTAGATAGTTTACAAGTCCATATTTATATTTTAATTATTTGTGACTAAAGACTTATGATTGTTTTATTAAATTTAAATTGAGTGCAGAAAGGACGAAAATGCACAATGCTGATGTAGCAATTGATTTTTATCATCGCTATAAGGTACTATCTCAAATCGATCCTTTTTTAAAACATCTACATACCTAGTATAAATTAATCTTATTATTTAAACTAAAACTAAACTAGATCAATCAA